ATCAAATTTTTTTAATTAAATTAATCAATTTATTTAGGATGCTTCCAAATTTTAAGGTAAACACTATGAATGTGTGTGCATGCCCAGTCATGTCAGACTGTTTGTGACCTCATGGACTATAGCCCTCCAGGCTCTTCTGTCCATGGGATTCTCCAGGCAAGAATACTGGAGTGGGTGGCCATTTCCTCCTCCAGGGGCTCTTCCCAACCCAGAGATCAAACTTGCATATCCTGTATTGGCAGGCAGATTCTTTACCACTGTGCCACTGGGAAGCCCAAACATTATGAATACATATTGCCAAAAATTTCTATCTTAAACTGGAGCCCAAGAAGGTGAGAAATAGGGGACAAGGAGGAAAAGATTAAGCAAGGGAACATACTTGTGAGTCAATCTGTCTTCTCTTTTAAAAGAGATTCTAAATTTTAAGCACTTTAGGGTTGGGTTTCAGAACTATTCTATTTTTATTCATAGACAGAAAACAGGACTGAACCAGGGATTAGGAAAGCTTATAGGTTATTAGGAAAGTCCTTTTTAGGAAAATCATAGCTATTAGTCTGCTGCTGAGAAAGTTGGCTCTGTTCAAAGAATCTCTTAATTATCTCTCCTATTGCTGAAGCTGCAGTTAACATATAGAAAGGAGTGTTCTTCCCTTTAATGAATTCCCAAATGCTGTGGCATTTATTAAAGAAATATTTAAGTAGAGCCATTGTTCAGAGGATATTTTATTCTTTCCTTACTACCACTGCCCCTGCTTCAGATTATTAGTTTCCTAGCGGGAGGTTAAAAGAAATCCACAAGAATATATTGTATTCTCTGTCTGGTCTTATTCCTTACTTAACTTTGTGCTCCGCTGGTACAAAAATAAAAATAGGTTCAGACCCCGGTGGGTGCTGATCAAGAAACTCTAAAGTAGGATACAAGCTTTTAGCTCTACTAAGATTCTGTTTTCTCAGCCCTTTCATTTCTATCATTGATAAAAGAAAAATTAACGTTTATAAGTGCTCATTTTTTTCCAAAGTGCATATAGAGTATTCAGTATGAGTGAGTCTTGGTATTCAGTTCTAGGATACAAAATGAATAATACAAACTTGAATCCTGGTCATATGAATTTATAATCTGCCTAGTTGTGCTGTGCTGAGTCTCTTCAGTCATGTCTAACTCTTTTAACTGTATAAACGGTAGCCCGCCAGGCTCCTCTGTCCGTGGGATTCTCCAGGCAAGAATACTGGAGTGAGTTGCCATGCCCTCCGCCAGGGAATCTTCCCAACCCAGTGATCAAATGCATGTCTCTTGCATCTCTTGCATTGACAGGTCGGTTCTTTACCACTAGTGCCACCTGGGAAGACCCAGCTATGTGTTCATGCAATGCAAGAAGCACCAAATTAGGAAGAACACACCTGACGAGTACTTATCCAGGCTTGGGAGACCAACAAAGTTTCCAGGAGGAAGTGTGTAAATCACCACTGGGGAAGACTGGGTGAATATAACTGAAGAACATTTTGGTGTAGGAAATAGGCAAAGTGTTTAAAATTCTCCTCTCATTTTTGAGAAGGTTAATTCCCAACTGAGATCTGGGAATTTAAAACTGATTCCCCACAAGATGCTCAGTCCTTCAATCAAGAAGCATTTATGGTACCAGGGAATTTCCAAACATTATAAGCACAGGATAAAATCATGAATGAGACTAAATTTCTACTGTTGGGAGTGTATATTCAACTGGCAGCAACACAGGTGCAATGATGTATTTGTATAACATAATCCAGTATCCCATTCAACTTCAGAAGCTCACGTATCTTATTATTTGGCCACCTGATGCTCAGTGTCATGTGAGATGATAGGTATAGACCCTGTATTTATATCAAAACATTCCACCACCTTATTTCAGATTATATTTCCCTTGTCTATGATTCCCCACCCATTCCACATATCTTTATTTCAGCTCTTGGCATAATTAACTTTTATGTCAGATTTATTTAATTTCTTGAGAGAAATTAACAACCACATACAGTCAGGTAATGACCACAACATCAGGACATAGAAATTCCCCCATTGCCCCAAAAAGTTCCCTTTTGCCCCTTCTTAGCCTAATCTCTTCCATACTCCCATCCCCTGCAACTGATCTGATTATTCTTCCTCTAGTTTCATCTTTTTCAAACACTCTCAAGTTTTTAGTGTCTGGCAACTTTCATTTAGTACAATGCTTTTAAAGATATATTTTATTTATTTTTTCTTGCCTCATTGCACTGGCTAGGACTTCCAATACAAATTTGAATGGATGTGGCATTAGTACACATCCTTGACTTCTTCTCAATTTTAGGGGGAAAGTATTGAGTGTGTCAAATTAAGTAAAATATTAACTATAGTTATTTCAAGTTGAATCTTCCTTTTATTGTTTCGTCAGGAGTCATTTCTATGGAGAATGTCTCACAACAGCTCGTTTGACATTGGGTGGTATCTCTTCTCCATCTTGATACATCAGCACACTCCTCAGCTTAAGCACTCTGTGTATACCACAGGCTTCTCCCAGCAGGGAGGCTCACATCTCTCAGGAAGCTCTCTCAGACTTCTCCTGAAACCATTTTGGGACCTTTTCTCTTTCATGGGGCCCTTTAATCCAGGGGAAACACATGCATCTCTGATCTGTCATCAACTTGTTCACAGTGTTGTTATCATTCTTTCTGCCACCAAGACCATCTTATAGATACTGGTCAACCAGATGACCCAACTTCCAGAATTCATTGAACAGATTCTCTAGAGGGTCAATTTGAAACATCACTCTTATGGCTTAAATGAAGGGAAAGCAACACCCAATCTTTTCCCAGAGGGAGGGAGGGCAAAAAAAGCACCACAAAATGAAACAATGTTCTCAGAAGACACTCTCTCTCAGTATCTTCAAACTCAGGCATTTTATTCCTTTGAGTGAGTGGGCTGAAGTCAATAAAACTGAGTTTGGGTGGGACCTTTGCAAATCTTGCATAGAGGAGTCAAATGACATTTTTTGAAAGGTCAGGATGTTTTCCTCTATTGCTTTATTTCTTTGGAGATTTTAGTTGACTCAGAGGCAGAATAGGTCTCATTCTATAATATATTACAAGTAAATGTATTACAACTTCAATTTATGTTTTTCTGACCACATTGCACTATTTTAGTTTATTTTCTATACACGTTGGGCCAAAAGAACCATATTTGTGAATAAGGACAGCAAATAAGGAACAGCTCTATGCATATACTCCTTTTAATCACTGCAATAAATCCCCATGATTTAGGAATTACTGAGGAATTGCTAAATAAAAAACTGCAAGTGAGATTATGTAAAACTAACAGAATTGCGAAGAGTAAATATTTAACAGCAAGGCAGAGTAGGATCCATAGATCTAAGACTTTTTTAAAAGTAGAATCTTGTTTTGAAGTGAAATCTTTTCTTCACTCATTCAGTGTGTTTAATAAATTACACATAGGTACCAGAAAGAGTGTTAGGGAATGTAAGTGTTAATGGAGCTTCCATTCCCAAGAGAGAAAGAGGCAATAAACAAACAAATGAGCATGGTCATTCTGGGTAGTGATACATGAATAAAACCATGTGATAACCTAGATGGGTGGTTGGGGTAGGAGACAGAGGGGGTTCAAGAAGAAGGGGGCATATGTATATTTAAGGGCTTCCCAAGTGGCACAGTGGTAAAGAATCTTCAGGCAATACAGGAGACATAGGAGACATGGGTTCAATCCTTGGGTCGGGAAAATCTCCTAGAGTTGGAAAAGGCAACCCACTCCAGTATTCTTGCCTAGAGAATCCAGTGGACAGAGGAGATGGGTGGGCTACAGTCCATGGGGTCGCAAAGAGTCGGACATGACTGAGCTTGCATGCATGTGTACTTAAGGCTGATTCACATTGTTCTATGGCGGTAGCCAACGCAATATTGCAAAACAATTACCCTCCAATTAAAATTTTAAAAAATAAATTCTAAATATAACAATTAATAAAAATAGCATCATTTTGAAAAATAGGGAAATATGATATTAGAGTGAGTGGGCATGAGGGTAGGGTATTTGGCTAGACTTGAAGGCCTCTCTAAGGAGGTGATATTTAAATTGAGACAAATGACAAGAAGTAGCAAGCTTTGTAAAAATATGATGGCAGCTTGTCCTAGGCAGAGGGAACAGAGAGTGAAAATGCCCTCAGGCAAGAATATACTTGGTAAACTCATAGATCAGAGGCAAGGCCAGTGTGACTGTAACATAATGAGAGGTGGAGCGCAGATGAAGAAGTCAGACAGGCAGGCAGCAGTCAGTTCATGTGGAATCTTGAAGGTGGTGATCAGTCATTACATTTATTCTGAGTGCAGCAGGGAGCCTTTTGGAGGGTTTTAAGCCTAGGAACAACATGTTCTGATTCATGAGCTTCAGGGGTCATTCTCTCTGCTGTGCAGAGATTGAATTCTAAGGAACAAGAATAAGAGTTGGAAGGCCAAGTAGAGGGCTGTGACAGTGGTTCAGGTTTGACATTACCGTGACAGACTAGGCAGTGAAGATGGACAGTGAAGTGGATGGACAGAAGTTTGTTTTCTGGAGCTAATTAAAAACTTTACTAAACAATATTTGGGAGGAAAAAGTAAAAAATAAAGATAAATATCCAAATCACCCATATACAACAGAAACGCAAAGATGTTATACACTTCCTTTCAGATCCTCCCTGGTCCTCCACTACATAGAATACAGGCTGCTGTCTTCAAATGAAGACTGAATGAGTTGCTTCGGACTTCACTCGGGGCAAGAGAGTCTGCTGGACTTTCACTGCCCATGACAGTAGTATCATAACCGGGGGTAGCTCTGGCCTGGGCTCTCTCACCTCTCAAGCTTCCTTATACCAGAATGAGAAGGAGGAAGTGGAGTCAGTCCCACCCACTGGTTTTGGCAAAAAAAAAAATTCCAGGACTTTCATCTTGCTGGTTTCAGCATAGGCCCTTGGACCCCATAGGAATCCATAACATGTAGGATCACTGTCAAGACACCTGCCGATAATCTAGATATTGTTCCTTCATCAGGTCATTATTGATGAGTTTACTGGGTTCCCCATAGATGGGATCCTCCTGCCCAGCATACAGCCCCATCATATTCAACACTTCCCAGATTTTCTCCCCAGGGGCACAGTTCCCCTCCATGAAGGTCATACCCAGGATAAGTATCAGGAGACTGGTCTTGGGCATGCCCTGGTCATCACTCAGCCTCTTGTTATAGCTGAGGTTGTGTGATTTGACAAGGTCATAGGAGTGGCTGGTGGGGTCTACTTCTTTCACTTCAGTGCCAGAGACAACCTCCACGCACTGATAGACTTCGCTGAAGATCACAGGGAAGTTGTCCTTGTGCTCTCTGATGACACTCCTCAGCATTTCTGCTCTGGGGGTGGGTTCCTTTGTTACATATCTGACACACAGGCACTGCACCAGTTCAGTCACCTTCTTGTTTAGCTCATGACTGAGCAAGAACTGGGGATCTGGTGGAGCCTCGGAGATGCTGGGGCCCCCCTCTTCTTGGCTTCTGAAATTCTCATCAGATTGACTCAGTAGAGAGGCTGTGGTGGCAGCAGGTGAGAAGCAGGCTCCCTGAGAACGCTGGTGAGCACTCAATGCCCCAGTGACAGGCACCTCATCTGGGGTGCCAGAGATCAAAAGAGTGAGGGAGGAGAAGAGGGGGTGGAGGGAGAGAAGTTAATGGAGGCGAAGGAGGCCATGCAGGAGGAAGAGGTGGAGGAGTTGGCCTCTTCCTTCCTAGCTATGGGAGCCTGTACACGTCTAGGCCCTGCACACTTTCAAAGGCCTTTGTAGGCCTTTTGGGGCCTGAAGGTCTTCCTCAAGCTTGCAGTGCTCACTTTTCTGATCCAGGGACGTGATGACTTGTGTTGGAGGTGGCCAACAGGAGGATGGGATCAGATCTCCTCTCTAGGGGTGCTCCCACGTGTCATGGGCTCCTGTTTTCCTGGTTGGCCTGAGGTCTCATAAGTGAAGTGAAGCTATGGTTTTTTCAGTAGTCATGTATGGATGTGAGAGTTAGACTATAAAGAAAGCTAAGTGCCAAAGAATTGATGCTTTTGAACTGTGGTGTTGGAGAAGACTATTCAGAGTCCCTTGGACTGCAAGGAGATCTCCTAAAGGAGATAGTTGTCTATCCTAAAGGAAATCAGTTGTGAATATTCATTGGAAGGACTGATGCTGAAGCTGAAACTCCAATACTTTGGCCATCTGATGCAAAGAACTGACTCATTTCAAAAGACCCTGATGCTGGGAAAGATTGAAGGCAGGAGGAGAAGGGGACAACAGAGGGTGAGATGGTTGTATGGCATGACCGATTCAATGGACATGAGTTTGAGCAAGTTCCGGGAGTTGGTGATGGACAGGGAAGGCTGGCATGCTGCTGTCCATGGGGTCGCGAAGAGTCTCACACAACTGAGCGACTAACTGAACTGAACTGAGGTAGAAGCCAAACCAGGTGTTACTGTCTTAGAAACCGAAAGAATAAAATGCATCACAAAAGAGAGTGAGTGTCTTGTCTCATGTTTCTGATAAGTTTAATAAGGACAGAGGAATGACCACTGGAACATGGATGCCAAATGCAACTGTTTGAACTTGTACAACTCATGAGAAATCAGAGTCTAAAACAAGCCTACAGTGAAAGTAGTTTATTTTGGTACTCAGTCCCATGAGCTTGGAATGGAGAACTGGGATGGGTGAAGCAGGGAAGGAAGGAAAGTCGATATAAGCGTGTATTAACTTGATCATCACTGGAGACTCTGTCATCTGAGAATCTTCTAAGAAGCTGTAGAACATTCCTTAGAGCTGCCTGCCTGTGAGATACAGAGACCATTTATCTATAGGCCACCATCCCCTACTGCCTCAGGGTTATTTATGGGTGTCCATTCTCCATACTTCCCGGTTTTCTCAAACTCAGCTATTGAGATATTCTGCCCTCAGTGTAAACAAAGGTGTCAGGACAGAAAGATAGAGATAGAAAGTACAGAAGAGAAGTATTGCCAGATTATACATGAAAGAATCTGGTTGCTAACAGCAATATTTGGAATTTAATGTGAGCATGAAAAGTGTAAGACAAGGAATAAGAGTCTGATAATCATTCCTAAAATCATTCAAGATAACGGTTTACCTTAATCTTCAAAAACCAAAGCTGAAGGGTTAGTTGAGCAATCTATAGTCCCCATTGCTGCAACAGGGACTGGGCCTGTGATTTATATTTATCAGCAGCTCTCTCTCTGTACCTTTGACCAGCCCTACATCAAATCTAGGTTGTTCCCTTTAGTAGTGACTCAGATCTTCATCCCTATAGGTTCTGAGTCTTCAGTTGTTTTGCCTTTGCTTGTCTGTGGTTGTTGGATATGTCCATTTAGAGTTATTATTGATCATGGAATTAATAAGAAATACTTCTGTGAGTTACCTGGGCTTTACACATGTTCCCTTCTGCCCTCATAATATGGTAGCAATGTTAGGTTCATTAGTAAGTCCTTTCTTTGCCCACCAACTCACTCACATAGCAAGGCTGAACAGATCAGTTGGTGGCAGTCTTTTCAAGTTCAGTAGAATCTTTGCTGTGTTCCCTGTGGAAGCATCTTTTCCACTTACTTGAGATCCAGGACTTTGAATCCTATAGAACCTAAGATTACTGGGGAAAAATGTACCTTTTGCAATTCCACTGTTTGATTTTCAGATCCATATTTCTCACAGTTCTGGAGACTGGAAGTCTAGGATTATGGTGTCAGCTTGGTCAGGTTCTGATGAGAGCCTTTCCCTGATTGCAGGCTCTGACTTCTTTTTGTGGTCTCACATGGCAGAACAGGTTTGCTCTTTATCTCCTTACAAGGGCATGAATCCCATTCCATCATGTAGGCTCTGTGTCCATGATCTAATCCACACCTAATTACCTCCCCAAACCCCTCACCTTCCATATACTTTCACAATGAAGACTAGGACTTTATATCTAAAAAGAGGAAAAGAAAGCAAGAAAAAATTTCAATTCATACCTCACACCGTATACAAAAATTAAATCAAAATGGGTCATATACTCAAGTGTAAATTTAAAATTCATAAACATTCTAGAAGAAAGCATAGGAGATAATATGATTTGTAAATTATTTGGGGTTAGGAAATAATTTCTTAGCCGTTACACTAGGAAGACAACTTACTAAAAACAAAAATTGATTTATTGACTTTATCAAAATTAAATCATCTTCTCCTTCAAAGACATTGTTAAGAGAATAAAAAGACAAGCCATAGACTGGGAGAGAATATTTGCAAATTACTTGTCTCATAAAGGATTTGTATCTATAAATACACAAAGAACAGTTAAAATTCAATAAGAACACAAAAAGCACAGTTATAAAATAGTGAAAGGTTTGATCATACTCATCACCAAAGAATTTATACAGATGGCAAATATGCACATAAAAATGCTCAACATCATTAGTAATTAGGGAAGTATAATTAAAATCTCAATAAACTGCTACCACACACCTATTAACATGCCTAAAATTAAAATGACTCACCATATCAAGTCTTGGCAGGTATATGGAGCAACTGAAACTCTCATGCACTCCTGGTCCAAAACAGTTTGACAGGGTCTTAAAAAGTTAATTCTATGTCTATCATATGATACAGTCATTTAATGCTAAGGTATTTACTGAAGATAAATAAAAGCATATTTCCTTAAAAAACTTGTATATAAATATTTATAGCAGCTTTAATAGCCCAAATTGGAAAAATCCAAATGATTATCAGTAGAGGAAAGGATAAACAAATTGTCACATAACCATTCAATTAAATACTACTCAGCAATAAAAAGGAGCATTATAATGATAGCTGCAACAACACAGATGAACTTCAAAAACAGGAAGTTCAGAGAAAGAAGAAAAACATAAATACTACAATTTAATTTTTACTATGCAAAATTCTAGAAAATTCTAATTAATTTGTAGTTGTAATTAATTTGTACTGGCAAAGAGCAGGTCAGATATATCCTGGGAGATGGGTGGCAAGGAAATGCAGGAGAGAGAATTGAAGGGCAGACAGGAAACTCTTAGGGGTGATGAATACGTTCATTATTTTAATTGTAGGCATGGCTTTACAGAAGTATCCATGTGTCAAAATTTATCAAATCATGAACTTTCAACAAATTCAGTTTACTTTGTTAATTATAGCTCTATAAAGCTAATAAAAAGAGGGGTATTTGACATAGGTATGACATGATGCTGCTGTGTTGTACATGTGCTAAACTGTTTGCTCAAAAATAGCTGTAGAAATAAAGATGATCCAAAAATATGAGGCCCATTACAAGAGATGTCTGATATAATGATATCAGAGAATGTAATGTGAACAGAGAAGCCCAAACAGTAGTGTTGGTAGAAAAATTGTTAAGTAATAATAGCTTCCAATTACATTATATTTATTTCCACTAAACTCTTAGCACTGTAAAAACATATATTACACACATAGATATTAATACTATTTCCTTATAATGGACCCAATGGTAGGTAATATTGTATTTGTTATCTTCATTATAAAGATGAGGAAACTGAGAATCAGAGAGTGTTAACTGGTGTATTAGTCAGACTAGTGCAGAGAAACTGAACCAATAAAATATATGTTTAATTAATATTTAATGTTTACATAATATATAAATATAAAAGAGATTTATTATAAGAGTTTTGTTCACATGATCCCTAAAGGTGACAATTTTCAAGGTCTTCAATGTGAGCTGGTGAGCTGGAACCCAGAAAGGCCTATGGTGTGATTTCAGTCTCAATGGCAGATGTCTTGAAACCCAGGAAGAACTGATATTTCAGTTAGAGTGAAGGCAGGAAAAAGCTGATGCCCCAGTTCAAAGGCAGTCAGGCAGAAGGAATTATCTCTTATGAACAGGAGTGTAAGACTTTTTGTTCTATTCAGGCCTTCAACTGATTGGATGAGGCCCACCCATATTAGGGTAGGGCAATTTGCTTCACCCAGTCTATCCATTCAAATGTTAATCTCATCCAGAAATCCTGTTGGACAAACTCAGAATAATGTTTGATCAAATATCTGAACAACTTGTGGCTTAGACAAACTGTCACATAAAATTAACCTAAATAAAATTAACTGTCACATAAAATTAAGCTACTAAAAGCCGAAGCATTTATTAAAGAAGTAAATAATACTTTTGAGAACTATCTGTGAAGGTAAATTTAGTTATAGCCAGATATAGACAGCAGCACATAGAGATGAGTAGGATAAAACCTAGCATTGAGGATTCATATTTGAATTAGTACATGTATATATGTTGATATAATCCAGAAGAAAAGTAAAAAATTATGTTTCAGAGGAAATGATTAAACAGAAAGAAAAGTCTTGGGAAGGGAAGCCACTGAATTGATTCCATGATGAGCTAATAGGTTGAGACCTTATATTATAATTGCATCCAAAGCCCACTTAATCTCAGGACACAGCCTACTTTTCTGATCTTATCTTTTACCACTCCCATTTCACACAAAACATTTCTATTCTAAAACACACTGTGATTTGCATTCCTCCGGGACTTTGCTCTGCCTTTAACCTCGTATAATAACATCCATCATACAGCTCCCATAAGGTGAACTCCATCTCATTCCTCAAAACCCAGTTCAAATATCTGTGCAGCTTCCTCCAATGTCCTAAGATCAAGTCTGTTACTCCTATTCTTGTTCCTCTGAAAGTACGTCCTATGACCCCTGATAACTCTGATCATATTATATGGTGATGTTTATTTCTGTTTGTTTATGTTTGTTTCCTTTGTGAGACTGTAACTCCTTGAAGATTCCTTTTTAAATCTCATTACCAAACACATAGTCTACCTCAGTGTTTGTTCTCGAATTTTATTTCAGTGGGTGAAAATATGAATAAAATATAACTGTCTCAGCTGAATCTCTGGGCAAATTTATATGCATGAAGAGCTTCCAACATTTGATAGTAATTCATTGGGGAACTGCTGCTACTGCTAAGTCGCTTCAGTTGTGTCTGACTCTGTGTGACCCCATAGACAACAGGCCACCAGGCTCCTCCGTCCCTGGAATTCTCCAGGCAAGAACACTGGAGTGGGCTGCCATTTCCTTCTCCAATGCATGCATGCATGCTAAATTGCTTCAGTCGTGTCCGACTCTGTGCAATCCTATGGACAGCAGCCCACCAGGCTCCTCCATCCACAGGATTCTTTAAGCAAGAATACTGGAGTGGGTTGCCAGTTCCTTCTCCAGGGAAACTGCTATACCACTTCAAAACTTAACTTCTGCAAGCACACAGGAGTATAGAGTCCAAAATGCCCAAGGCCAATAAGACATCATCCCTAGGGTTAACACTAGCACCCTGATCCCTTCAGGCAGTGTACAGTCATTTTCTTTGTCCCTTTGTATCAACTGACTCCTAAAGATGGTATGAGCATCCCTAGGCTATTAGCAATTCTGTGGAGGGATGGGGTATAGTTTTCCACTGAGCCAAGTAGAAAGATGAAATCGAACAACGGAAGCTAAGGGACCTGCCTCAGGCTAATGATAGAGCCCCCATTTGAGTTCTATATTCTCTGGCCCCACTTGTACCATGTTGGGGACATAACCCTCCTTACTTCAGCAGAATTGTTACGTTTAGGCACTTATGTCAACAAAGCAAGAAATATAAACAATGTTTTCCCCCAGTAATAGGTCTTTTCCATGGATGTCAATTCTCTTCCGGAATTTCTCTTCAACAAATAAGAGAACTAGTGATGTTCTTCATATATATATAAATTCTGAAGCAAGCTGATCCTGGTGTACCATGCCCAATGTGAGTCTAGCACTTCTTATTTGAGATTTATAGCCAATTTTGAATTTGCTGTTGTTGCTGTTTGTTTCCCATCCCATTTCTCTGGGCTAGCAACCCTGTAAATAGTTTACATGTGGGTTCAATTTTTTGGTCTATTTCCTTGTCAAATTCTCAGGCTTTGAGCTTTCTAAAATGGCAGAAGTAATCAGAATTAGACTTGGGCAATGGGAAATGGTGCTTAGCAAGGTGTTCTGAGAACTTTCTCTCCCCTCCCTTTATCATCAAATTTTTAGCAGTTAAAAATTCCTTGGTATCTATCCATATCCCCCATTATAGGGGGTCTATTTAGCAACTCTTCCTTTGTATAATGGCCCAATCAGATCCTGAGTTTATTTCATTTTTGTTTGGGTCAAAACTGTCTTTGTATATGCTTATATTTAATGGTTTCCTCTTGGGACTCAAGTAATTCATATTTTATGTGAAGTAACTTAATTTTATGATGTGTCTGGTATAAATAGATTTTTTTTTTCCTTCTCTACTCCTCTTAGATGATGACAATTTGATTTTCCATTTATGGTAACATTAATGTAATCTCCTGGAATTTAAGCACATCATTTGTGTCTAGTTTCTAACAGCAATCTCATTTGCCAAGCATCAGATTGAGTGCAGGTTTTCCTACAGACCCAGCACCACAAACATCAAGGAGAGCTTTAGCTGAGTAACCAATCACAGATAAAGGGGAACACAAAATCCTCAGGATGGCCTCTCATCTTTGTCACGCTCCCAGCTGATAAAATGCCACCCTCCAACTTCAGAAAGTTATAAAACTGTCTCTCTCTATATATATATATGTAATGGTATATGTTAGATTTTCATTTTAGATTCTATGTATCTCATCTCAGTAAAGGACCTCATACCATATTAGTTTGAAAGGCATAATGTTTCTTATATATACATATAAAAAATACCTAAAAGCTTCCACTGCTTGTCATTAATGATACCCATAAATTCCTTCCCACTGCCAATATTGCTGTCAATCAGGGAAATTAATGCAAAGAAAAGTGCTGTGCTCAAATAAAGCAGACTTGGCCTGGAAGAGTTCACCCCAGTTCCATTGTTCTTAGGTGCCATGCTGCTTGAACATAATAGCAGCGAAGCTGAATCTCTGACATTGTGCATTTTAACTAGAATATTTTGACATTCTGTTTTACTTTTTATACTTGTGTCTAAGGGAGAAAAAAGGTGATTCTTTCTATTATGCAAAAAAAAAGAATATCATTTTTTAGAATTCACTATACAAAGAGTTAGTCAAATTTCATAGAATCATATACACCTACAAAAATATGCCCCAGAAATACATGACCTATGTTAGTTCATAGTTTTTATTTCAACTCTTCTTTCCAGCCAAGATCAATCCATCTTCTCCCACTGACTCTATAAAATGCCCCTACCAAATTTCTTTGGGTATTCCTAAGAAAATCAGGCTGGGCACAGGGAATTTTTGAAATCTGATTTAAGATATTTATGGTTTCTTTAATGCAAATATTGGAATATCATCAGAACACTAATGATACTCTGCACTACATCTTCTTTTCATCTATTCTGACAGTGTAGCTTTAGAGCTTACTCAGTGCCTGGCTGAGCTAAGGACTCACATGAAAGCTGACTGGCTGAGTTTCAAGCTAAATAAAACAGAGGTGAGGATCTTGGGGGGTAAGGGTTGAGAAGGGGCTGGGGACATTATTTAGAGAATGTTTAAACCTGGGGGTTTTCTGACTCACAACAGTGCTCCAAAAGCCTTAGAACTCAGTGAGGATCATGCCCTATACTTGACCCTGAGAACTGTACTGATCACCTAGACACTGTGAAACAAGATGAGGCCACAGCAGTCTTTCATGAGCATGCCTTGCCCACACTTACATTATCTGTTAATTGTCAATTTTTGAATGGTGCCACCACCAGATTATAAATTCCCTAAAGTAAGGTCCCATCACTTCATGACAAATAGATGGAGAAAAGTGGAAGTAGGGACAGATTTTATTTCCTTGGGCTCCAAAATCACTGAGGATGGTGACTGCAGTCACAAAATTAAGAGACACTTGCTTCTTGGAAGAAAAGCTATGACAAACCTAGACAGCATATTAAAAAGCAGAGACATCACTTTTTCAACAAAAATCTGTATAGTCAAAGCTATGGTTTTTCCAGTAGTCATGTATGGATGTGAGAGTTAGACCATAAAGAAGACTGAACGCTGAAGAATTGATGCTTTCAAATTGTAATGCTGAAGAAGACTCTTGAGAGTCCCTTGGACAGCAAGAACATCAAACCAGTCAATCCTAAAGGAAATCAACCCTGAATATTCATTGGAATGACTGTTGCTGAAGCTGGAGCTACAATACTTTGGCCAGCTAATGCGAAGAGCCGATTCATTGGGAAAGAACCTGAAGCTGGGAAAGACTGAAAGTGAAAGGAGAAGGGGGTGCAGAGGATGAGATGGTTAGACAACATCACTGACTTGATAGACATGAATTTGAGCAAACTCCAGGAGATAGAAGAGGACAGAGGAGCCTGGTGTGCTGCAGTCCATGGGGTCACAAAGAGTCAAACATGATTTACTGACTGAAAAACAAGCTCCAGATCCTGGAAAGCAGGATCTTCAACGTTCACTTTTTCATCTTTGAAGCTGAGTATAATATCTGGCATATAATAAGATGAGGGAGGGAGAAAGGAAGGAAGGAGGGAGGGAGGAAAGGAAGGAGGGGAGGGAGGAAGGAAGGGATGTCTTGGCTTAGTTAATAAGTGGTTCATGTTAATGTTAACCTGCAATACTGTACTGAAAAATGTCTTCTGATTCTGACTGTAAGAGAAGCTTAATAAAGTATATGGCAATTTATTCAGGCTTAAACAATGACAGAAATAGTGAAAGTGAAAGTCACTCAGTCGTGTCCGACTCTTTGTGACCCCATGGACTATATAGTCCATAGAATTCTTCAGACCAGAATACTGGCGTGGGCAGCTTTTCCCTTCTTCAGGGGATCTTCCCAGCCCAGGAATCAAAGCCAGGTCTCCTGCATTGCGGGTGGATTCTCTACCAGCTGAGCCACAAGGGAAACCAAGAAAGGAAGGCAAGAACAGTAAAGACCAAACAGAGCCTTTATGCTAATCTCCTTCAAACACCGAGAGAGACACAGGTTCAAACGCGGATGCATAGCTTGGAGAAGCGAATGAAGTCTGGATTTCAGGTTCCATTCAGTCCCTTAGCTACAAGCCCTTGTGCAGAGGACAACTTGAAGCCCCATAGATTTATCAAAGAATATCACCTCAAAGACCTATTTCATCGATCTTTGTATCTTAGCAGAAAACTGTTCTTTTCAGATAGGAAACTGATTTAATGTTACTAGATCCTCAATGGCTAGTTAAGCTGCTGTGCCTATCGCTATCCTAGACTTAAGATTCTTAAATTCCTAATGTTTTCAGTTATAAATACATATTTGCACTCTAGACCAGATTTTCTAAGAAAGCAATTGAAAAAATTCAGTAAGGATTCTCCTCTGATTTATCAAATGAGACTTTTTGACAAACCGCCTGGGTGATGGACAGTCAAAATTAAATGCTGGGACACTTCAGTAATAAACCAACAAACATTAGCTGAGAATTGACTATAAAATTAGTCATGTTCTAGATTAAATAAGGAAGTTTGTGAATACTTAAAGGAACAAGCAGACGGTCATGGTGAAGTGTCTCCTTTTTTCATGAATAGCATTCCGTGTGCCCTTGTTTCTTGATGTACTGTTGTACATCATTGCACTGAAAAACAGAGGTGATAATCTGCACTATTTCTAATCATTTCAGCTACTTACAGCAGATGCACTCTGTTGCGGATGATATGAACGAGTTAGCTTATGTCAAGAGAACTTTAAAATACTTAATCCACTCTACAAGAAATACAATCTTTAGAGATGTAGCCCCTGCCACATGGAAGAGTTATTTACATAGTTCAAGGTAGTTCAAGGTAGTTCAAGAGTTATTTACACAGTTCAGATGCAGGGAGCCTGGGAACAGGTATCTAGCTACAGACAGAATTCTCAGGTCAAAGAGTCTGTGTAACTCTGCAAAAGAAATCTAAGTAATGATTTACATAATCCATAGAGAAAGATAACTTCTGTATTGAAATATGTGCCTAGATATTTTTGCAGTAGAGTCAACTTTATTTTTTGTTTAAAAAAGCAAAATAAATATAAAGTAATTTTAGGAATTTTTTTTTTTTAAAGAAAGAAATGTACAAAGGAAATCAAAATACCTAAAAATATCTATGGCTCCACAATCTAGAGGTAACTGGGATAGCCTCTGTCAATATCATTCTAGGATATTTTCCACCCGTCAATATATATTATTATAATGAAAGTGGTTCAAGTTTACATACTATTCATAATCAGCTCTTTAAAATGGATGATATACCTTGTATAACATTCCAGGTGAATACTTGTTTATCTAGAGCATCATTGGTTGCTGTAGTCATTCTTGCACCATAGTGTATCCTTTTTCTCATATGTAATATGTGTATATATACACACACATCACCATGTATTTTGAATCCACGCACAACTTATTGCTAACCATTCAAATAGTATCCAATTGTTCACCACCATAAAAGATCACTTTTAAAAACACCCTTTGGAGCTTAATCTTTGAGCACAGAATTTGAATTTTCTTAGGATAAATATAGAAATGCCAGATGAAATATACTGCCTATTGTAGCAGAGAATTTGCTCTATACATCAAATTCCACAGCCTCTTCTTCCTCCTGGATGCCAGACTATCTGTTCCTCCCACCACTGCACTTAAGTGTGATCAGGTGTCTGAGGTTAATCCAATGGTCATCAGCGCTGTAATGACCCATGAAGACCTCTTACACGTACTGCTTCAAACTCTTTTCCCTTTTCAGTTGTTTGGAATGACAACTGAAGTTGTCATTAAAGTTGTCGGAATTTCTGTTAGCTTGGATGTCTCAGTGACCATGTAGAGAAAGGCTCTGCTCACAGGTTTACTGATTCAACATCGCCTTTGCTTCCCTGGTGGCTAAGATGTTAAAGCGTCTGCCTCCAATGTGGGAAAACCCGGGTTTGATCCCTGGGTTGGGAAGACCCCCTGGAGAAGGAAATGTCAACCCACTCCAGTATTCTTGCCTGGAGAACCCCATGGATAGAGGACCTTTGTAGGCTATAGTCCACAGGGTCACAAAGAGTCAGACACGACTGAGCAACTTCACTTTCATGTACAAGAAGAAGACCTCCACCATGATGCAGTTGTTATGTGTTTGGAGAGTTATTTAATACTGTCACCAATACCTACATTTTAAAACTTGTATAACATTTATTATCATAAAGATGTCCAAAATAGATAATTTCTTAATTTGTTTTACACAACCTGACAATAAAGATTTTATCTTTTGAAAATTCTCTATCAAGTGAAAATACATCCTTTGCTCTAATCTGCATCTTTTAATCATTAACAACATTCAACGAGTTTTCATATACCCATAAGTAATTTCATTTAAAATAAAATCATAACTCTTCTAATCACTAGCTATCCTAAAAGTAGTGGTAGTAGTAATATTGGCTTTCAGCAAAGTGGAAATTAGGAAATACTGCAAATAGGTCTTCAAATTTTAAAGGAAAATACGAAAATGATTTACTGATTTATTTAAAATCATCTTATTTTAAGGAGTTAAGGTGATGAAGTTATTAGTCTATATGACTGTGAGTTTAAC